TATAAAACGAACACTGGCGAACTGTTAAGGTAATAAAACAAAATGCGGGCGCAAACGTCAATCGTGAAGATACAACGTTTTAGCGTTAGCAGTAAGTGCCACTACCCCCTTGGGACCCTCGTAGCTGATTTGATAGAAAAGCTTTCGCGTCATGCCACTGAAGGTGTCATCTACGTGCACTCTTAAGTAGTTTATTCGTCTCTTAAAAAAAAAAAAAGTAACATTGAATTTTTTTTAATTTCGATCTGACTACGTTCAAATTTTGGATATTTTCCAACTCAAGTTTTGTCAGTTTTGATTTATTAATAACAAGAAAGTGTATCGCCGTAATCTGTCTGTAAACATGTACACATGATTAACAAATCGATCTCCCAAATTTTGTCAGTCATTCGTATGGATATCGAACGGATTGGACTCTTCCCGATACAATTACTATTATTAATAAATTTTTAATAAATAATTGCTTAAAAATCATCGTCATTATGACGATGGCGAATTACTCATAGCGTTTGGCATATTTCGCTCAAGTTCATGCAAACGAATTACAACTAATGGAACAAAAATTCAAATAATTAATTATCTAAAGACGCAGTAACTGACACTATGAATCGAGAAATGATGAGCTACAGACTATCAAATTTCAACATCACACAACTATCTTAATTATCTAAAGGCGCATTAACTAACACCAGGAATCGAGAAATGATGATGTACAGACTATAAGAATTTTAACATCACACAATCACACAACGCAAAATCACACATCACACAATCTCAGAGGAAGAATATATTCAATGTGATCCTCTTAATAATTCGAACACACATTACGAAGAAAAGGAGAATTCAAGTCCAATTTCCTAACAATTTAACACCCCCATCAACTGTAATCAACTCTAGTTTTGTGGACTAGTCATGATTGCAAATCATCTCGATCGCTTCTTTTAAAATTCCTGTCACATTAGAAAGCTAATATAATTGTAAATTAAGTAAATCAAAAATACAACGAAATTACATGTGACAACCATTTAAAGGTAATTTGGTCTTAGTCAGCATCACGAATCGATGTTTTTTTGTCGATCGTGTAAACAACAGATTTCCTCCAATCAGGTACACCTGCAGATTCAGCAGTCTGAACCGACGTGGTCCAAAGATCACGTGAAGCGCTCCTCTCCTTCCTGCACAAAAGGAAAAAAGGAATAAAGGCGCCAGCGAGCACTGCTGCACCAGCCATGTAAAACGCTGGCGTATACGAATCCATCGAGTCTGCCACCAGACCTGTTTGAAAGTAAAAGAAGATGTAATTAGTTTTTCTTCTACGGTAATGTCTTCGTTCTCTCACCCCACTCTGAACTCGCCAACCCTGCCGCTTCTACAGGGAAATTTGCAGAACGCCAAAAAATCAAACATCAAGCGTTTTTTCGTAGCGTTTCTTTAAGATTAGATGTCACGCAAAGCTCCCAGAAAGAAGGGTGACTGTAGGCTGACGGGTGTGGTTGTAGAGCTGCGTGAGAGTTGCGTGACATCGCAAAGATGTGCCACGGAGGAGACTTCGAAACGTCATGCGGGGGCAAATCTCTATGGTTAGTTTCATTGTTTGACTTACCTATAAACTTTGACTTACCTACAATAGGAGGACCGCTGGCCGTAGTAAACGAACTCATTTGCATTTGCCATGCAAGCGCAAGAGCTGTTTTATCAGGGCTGGTGCAAGTAATGGCGAGAATGTTGAGTGTTGTAATGTAAGCACCGTCGCAGAATCCAAAAATCACAATGAATACCATCATGTGAATATATGATGTTGCCATGGTTACAAATAGAATTGACATTCCTGCAACTATCTCGGCAATCTGATATACGAAGTACGTGTTTATCATCTTGAAGTCACACAGACGACCAGATACCAGTCTCCCAGCACACGATGCCAGCCCATAATAAACAAATAGTCGTGAGGCTGCGTCAGCAGTGATACCAATATCTTCACAATATCGCACCTACAAATCAACACACACAGACACTTACTCTTACTCGTTCATTTTGTAGTTCTAAGCAGAAGAAAACTTATTTAACTTATGCAACGCGAATAGTATTGGAGATATCGCTGGCAATCTTCATGCCCCAAGCTCCATTTATTAAACCTCCCTCTTAGGCTAAAAGTTCTCATAATCCTCCCCCTCCTTCTCCAAATAAATCCCCCCCCCTGAAAAAAGCTAAAATACTTCATTTGGCCCTGGTATCGTTTCAGTTCAAAAATGTACTTGTATTTCAAAGCCTGTATAAGAACATAAGAAAATAAGTCATAACATCTGGGCCGCTGAGTTTCTTAATAACCCCCGACCTATCCATCCCACCTCTAACCTACTGTCCTTTAATAAGCCACCCTGGATTTATTGGAAGCCCTGGAATTAACAACCCCTCCATTTGGACTTACTAGAATGTCTCTGGTAATTGAACTGTAAACTTACCAAATGAATCTGTGGTGTATAGTGTCCAAACATAATTACAGTTGAAGACACAATGAGGACTAAAACTTTGGGTTCTTTCCACACTGACACATCAATGTAACATCCTCTCTTCTCGTCCTCTTTCTCGGCCGATGTTTCTTCAGTGTCTTCACCTTCTACGTTGGGACTGTAGGTAACTGCTGTCAGACAAATCAGGAAGACGACGCCTGCCATCATTCGGTATGTTGTCCGCCAACCATACGCGTCAACCATCATCTGTAAAACGGGTGCCATAATCAAAACTCCTGCCCCCTGCCCACACGTCAAGATCCCCATGGCTAATGAGCGCCTCTTTTTGAAGTACTTGCTAATGATGTTGATGCTTGATGAGAACACAAAGCTAGTGCCCAGGCCATACAGCACACTATAGGTGAAATATAAAACGAGAATGTTTTTCGCCAGTGAGGAGACACCGAGGCTGAGGGCGCACAAAAATGCCCCGAGTAGAGCAGTGACACGGCAGCCAAATTTACTGATGAGAGCTCCCGACGCATGCCCAGCGAAAAAGATTATGGCGATGGCCAGCGAACCTACCCAAGCTAAAAAATAACAGAAAGGAGAAGTTTGTCGAAGAGTAAATAACAAGGTAATGTAAGAAATAACTCGCTTAATTTGGGCTCGGGATTTACAACCTTATTCCGTCGTTTCAAAAATTAAGCTGTCTATTTTAGCAAAGAAACTATTTCTCCCAATGAAAACTTTTGAACGAATGTTTCCTTCTCTGATGTATTAAAATTCTATTCTTTCTCAAACCTCTACACCCTATCATCAATATGCATATTCTCCATACTGTTCTCTATACATTTCCTCATATGCTAACAAGGGGAGTCTGTTTAGCAATCAAGTTTCTGCTCTGGTTGCTGTTCATTTCCTTTTTCTCTTAACCTCAATGTTTGATTCAGGGGAGAAATAAGATGCTAGTCACTCTTATGGGGGGGCTCTTCGGTTAATCGTGACGAAACTTTCTCAAATAATATCCCACGCGCTGACTACTTTATACAAAATGACAGAAAACTGATGATCATAAAGCAAATGATGGTTAGAGGGTCAAAAATAGCCCTTTTTTGAAGTAAGTGTCGAAACGCTAAACGTTTTACACAAAAAAGGTGTTACAGTCGAACCTCGATTATCTGGACTATTCGATTATCCGGACTTTCTTCTCTGGTCCCAATTTATTTCATGAATATTAATTAGTTGTGATCTTGAAAACTCAGAGTCGCAAATTAGAAAGCCCAATAATCCTTTCCAAAGACTGCTGAAACAGCGTATTATCCTGTGCGCTTTTCAAAATTCACAAGTGCGACGAGACAGAAATATTGATGCGTTATCTGCAAATACATACAGGCTGTGTAGATATCACAATTAAAATGATGTTTTCTTTGCTGTATACGTTTAGTTCACATTTCTATCTCAATAATATTCATATTATCCGGACTATTTACCGAGGTCCCGACGAGTGCGGATAATCAAGGTTCGACTGTATAGCTGTCTTCCTAAGTCACGCTCAAACATTTCGCTACGCTGTTGCGTGACACAATATCATGAATGCTTGTTATTAAAATAGTAGATCTATAATGGATTATTTTTAACTTCTGTATCCGATGTCAACAAAATCTATGAGTCAGCAAAGATGTACCCTACTTAAAAAAAATTATGCTGCAGTGCTAACAAAAGAAATGACAGGGATAATTCATAACCGGTGGCAGCTTCGTGACACCAACCGGCCCCGACCAGTTTCCGCTGCAATGACTCTACTGTAGCGAAGAGAAAATACAAGCAATTTTATCCTGATTGTTGGATAATGGATGGCAATTATCCCGTTACAGTAACTCTATGTTTTTACTTTGCTCTCAGGTCGCATGATCCCTGTTGTATTCGAATTTTTTCTCGCAGATACTAAATTTTGATTGAGATATTTAAAAATATTATTGGACTGGCAGACATCCACTTTTACCTGATAGTGATTACTCTGTTCTCAAAATAAGACAGCCTTTGTTAGGGATACGAATTCCATCACTTAACAGTAGCGCCGCAATAATTATTAGCTGCGCTCGGAATAGAATTTGTTCACCTACGTAGGTTACGATACCGAACGTCCTCAACTAAAATCAGATCAACAAGTTACAAATCGACCTTGGTCGATTTGGATAATTTAGCCTCAATATGTAAAAGATTCAGCTGAAATCCAAATCCATTTCTTTTTCTTTTTCCTTTGTAACCGATTTTCAACTTTTTCGCCTGCACCAGTAAACCAACTTCCAAATCAAGGTCAGACGTTGCCCTACAGTACCATGTCGCTTAAAAGTACAAATTACCCGTTTTCTCTCTGCTTTCTTGAAAATAATCCATGAAGACTGGAAAGAAAATTCCAAAACTGAACACGAAGCCTAAAGCAGCCAGCCATGAGAGAGTTGCAGAAGCGCAAACCAGCCACGACCAAAGACCATCTTGCGCGTACGGAGCCATGATGGTTTTGCTAAAATTGAGGTCTGATCCATGATGCACGTGATGTTTTGATCTGGTCACTGATATCAATTTCAACCTGTCTTGCGTGACTCCCAGGCTCTCCTGGGTCTCTTCAATGTGGAGCCCAGGGTCATTTTGGCTCATTGTCAGCGGCAGAGTGGTCAAAATGACGGTGAAAGGTAATATTGCAAATTATTATGTGGCTGTGTCTCACAAGGACTAGGAACTACCGAATTCACGAATTTGATTGGCTGAAATCAATATTGAAAGCGGTGTGGGTCTTGCTTGCAAAACAGAAAACCGGCCGCACCCCACACATTTATGAGAACCCTGTCCCACAAGAGAAAGATGATTCAAGAATTTATTGTGTGATTGACATTCAACCAATAATTAAAAGGTAAGAAATAATATCAATAATGATAATAATGATAACAATAGTGATATGATAATTTAAAGCGGCTAGCTCGAAAAGTTCACGCCTTTGGGTGACCGCATGTCAAGTTAGGTCAACACTCTGCAAGAATCGAAATGCCGACCGCCAAAAGAAACACAAAGGCGTCTTGCAGAGTCTCAGGAGACTCTCAGCAAGACCATATTTTGCGGGTAACTTTCTAAAAGTAAGCTCGATTTCCGCCGCTCTCTCAAATCCGGTTTTTTCGTTTCTCCCCGAAAGGAGGAGCGCGGGCTCAGGTTTCCGAAAAGCGGTTGGTGATCGAGCCTAATCTAACAGTTGTCCGTCACAGACCTTTAGTTCAATCCTGCGGCTTAAGTTACGTTCGAGCGCGAGCAGCGAAAATTGCTTAAACCACGAGTCTTTATCTGTTTCGATGAGATTCTTTCGCGGCCTTTCGCCATTCAGCGTTGAGTTTCTTTTTCGAATTTCTCTGTACCGATAGCCAGGCTTCTGTGTAACTTTCACTCATGAACTCTTCTCCATTTGATCTTTCTGACCTTCCTCTATTCATAGTATAGCTGTAAACGCAGTGAGATAGCAAAGATCTCCACGTGCAAACGAGATTGGCTATTCGTGCTTTGGCGGACTAAAGAATTCAGGTCGAAAATACGTTCTTGTAAATAACTTTAGTGCGTTTCAATATTTTACCGAAGTTTTTCTTGGAAAATAGAGTTAAAATAATAATAGTTTGACATGAAAAAAAAAAATTTAAATTGGTCTACCGTATCCTTAAAAATTGCGCGAGGTCGACCGTCGGTCGGAAATTTTTTTGAAATAATTGAGAAACCGTGACAACAGTAGGCTATTCAAACTATCATATGGCGACTAGGAACTTCTCGGCGATCCCGAGGAGATTTATAACTTTAAGCTTAGGCGCAGAGCTTGATACTTGGAATACGTAGTAAAGGATATGCTCTTCAGGAATCTGTTTCGAACACTGTACAAGATCAACTTAAAAAAAAGGAAAGTATCATCATCCTTCATCACGAAGAGGGCGAAGACAAGATGAACAACTTTATATCTACTGGAAATTTCATTTTCCCAGCCTTCTTTAAAGATGCAAATTTTCCTTGACTCAAAATAAAATTCCCTGACTTTTCCCACGCCTTGAAGTAAGTTGTTTTGGCCTGAATTTTTCTGAACTGTTACAGACGCGCCTAACATGATCGAGGTGGAAACGAAGCACAATTTTTTTTTTGGAAATAGCGTCTTGTTTACCATAAAAATCAAAGATTGGCAGTTGCCATCCTCTTTCAATCTTATAGTTTGGCTGTCTGCAATCTTCGAAATGTTTCGAAAACACTTTGTCATCAGATCTTATCTTATTTGACCTTATTTTATTCTAAAAGTAAAGATATGTTTGAAAGAAACTGAAAACAACCATCTAATTTAGAAATCGAGGCGAGACAATTCCTGACCAAATACGCATGCAGATTAAAACACAAATTGGTGCAACTAGGAGTTAAAAAAATATAGCATGGATACTTAACCTCTGAAGCTTAGAATCCTTAGGATGTTTAAGAGAAATCCGATTTTGTGGAATATTGAGGCAGTTACAGACGCAACTGAACGAAAGTAAACTATTCTCTACGCTTCGCGCTTGTTCGCACTGTTGTATATGTTTATCGTTTTTCGACTGTGACCAGTCTATGACGTATGAAACTAAAAAAGTCTACTCGAGATCGAAATTCTATTTTTACACTCACTCACTAATCCATCTCCGTCGATTACATATGTGGCCGCGCCTCCTTAAGGAGGCAGCGGCCACAAATACTCGCAATTTGAGAGAAACAATATTGTAACTAAATTAAAACTTCATATCTGATGGAAATGAACCCAACAGAATGACGGCGAATCTCCTGAAACTCCGTGATACCTTATACTTCCGAAATACGTGAGATCATGAAACCTCGCCTAAGGCCTAGGCAGAGGGTCAAAACATTTTATATGCTGCGCTAAGCAACTAGAAATAAAGCCTTGACTGAAAAAAAGTGCTAAACAAGTTACTGCCTAATCTAAAATAACGAAATCACGAGAAATACTAAGTCATCGTCAATGGAAGTTCTAATATTGATTTGAAAGCTCTGCATTCGCCTCGCGGGCTGTTAATACAACAGTTTGAAATCGTTAAAAGCGAATTTTGCCTTACTTGAATTACAGATGACTGTTTTTTTTTTTCTTTTTCTGAATGATCAGCCTATGTAGATAAGCGGACAGATGCAATTCAAAACATAACATAATTATATCTAAAGGCTTTTGATCCAAAACACGAATGACCCAGGAATTTTAAAACCGTGTTATTCTTTCAAACCGTCAGTTTCGAACCNTTAGAGTGACACAAGACTTCATTTAGCTTAGATTTCCTCCACTTTTCCCGTTAATTTTGAACTTTTCATTCACAGTTAACGGGATCAAATGCGCTCGCTCCAACACCAAAGTATTAAAATGTGGCGTGATTTTGACGAGCCGAAAGGGACGTTTGTTTACCTTTTTGTACTTCGTCGCACAGATCCTTGTTGTCGCTCTGTTAAAATTCTTAAATATTTCGCGATAATAATGGATACAAACAGAGACTCGGCCCACCAGTCCCAAAACGAAGACAATTTTGCGACCCTTGGGCTAGAGTTCTTAAATGAGGCAGAAAGAGAAAAACAACGCGAAAGAAGACTCGGCATCAGCGCCGTCACGATTCGCCTCACTGAAGAATCACTCTTGATATTGTTGTTCGTCTTTCGCGTCGGATTTGTTGCATTATTCCACCGGTTATATTATAAAAAAATTGGTTCATGCTTTATGCTATGCACTATCGAATTATGGAGCACTTCGGAAGCTTGGAGAACACTTCGAGGGACCTGAGTTTTCGGTGTCTGAGTTTTCGTGACACCCAGCGACCTTGCCATGAATTCTAGTAGTTGCCTCTAACATAAATAAAACACTCGCGATATGTGAGCATGACTCAGCCAGTCCAGCTTTGCATCCCAAGCAATGGGCTGACAAAATAGTCCCATCGTTTTCGGAAATGACCCAAATGTTCACTAAAGGATCATTCATATGCTGTGAATGCCAAACTCGTGCTCTCACGGCATACTTGCCGGCGATTACTTTGCCTACAACTGAGGTTACAAATCCCGACACCATTTGATTAAACGCCTCTAGACTCTTGAACGCCTTGAACTGCTTCTTGGTGTAGAAGCTGGTCTCAAGAACGAGGTAACTCAGCAAGTCCGACGCTTCCACAGGAGGCAAGCATTTTGGACTGAACTTCTCGGCTGGTATGCTTGCAGGGTCAACCCCAATGACCGAGATCTTTTGCAAACATCTTTCCTTCCAACTCTCTAAGCTTTCGGCATACTCAGAGAGCACTGGGATACCTTAAGATGAATGCCAGATACTTTTATCGCTTTTTTCTGCCTGGATATTCATGTAGTTGGCGAAATAATACGGCGATAAGAGAGAGGGCTTCACTATAGAAATCGACTAATTATTCATAAATTTGACACCCGAGGGACACCAACATGGCGGACACTTACTTCAGCAAAGCTTGTGACGTCACCTGAAACCCAACCATAATTCGGAACATGATCATGCACCTCGACAATTTTTTTAATTATGACGTCTCCTTTCGGTTTCCTTGTTTCGCTTCGTCTCCCATCATAACAACAAGATCGACGAAAAAAAAAAAGTACGAAAAAACTGGAAATAAATTTACATGATGCACCGATCAAGTCCCTAAAAATCTTTAGTTTTGTTCTAAATAGAGTCAGTGACCCAGCGTGTACAACTTCACTGGGCAGACTATTCCATGCATTAATTATCCACACAAAAAACGAATTATTTTAGTAGTTCAGGTTGGCTTCCTTGCATAAAATCTCTTGATGTCGTGGAATCTGTATGGACTCTGCAGGAATGTAAACAGCTTCTTTTCCGACAGATTTATTTTCGACGAACACTGCCGACGCTCTAACAATTCTCTCATTTTAACATCTCAGTGTTCTAACAATCTCTCGTTATAACAGCTCAAACATTCCAACAATCTAACTCAAACTACAATCTACTACGGTATTCATAGTTTGCCTTACGTAACTGATAGCTGGTATTTTTCCAACAATCACGAGTACAGGAAAATCCCCAGTAAAATCTCAAGTCAAAGTCTTGCAATACGTCTATACTTAATCCTTATAATAATAATAATAATAATAATAATAATAATTATAATAATTTATTTCTTATATAGCGCTATTTACAATAACAGATCAATAGCGCTTTACAATTGATATCTCTAAATATTAAAATATCATCTAAGTAAAAAAATACTAATAATAATTACATATTACAGTTAAATTGGCTATATAGGATTCATAATTTATCTACTATTAAAAGGTTTGCCTGAAAAGAAAAGTCTTAATTGAATTCTTAAAAATTTGTACAGATCGAATATTGCGTAATTGCAATGGTAGCTCATTCCATAGATGCGGTGCAGCTGCCTGAAATGTACGTTTACCCAGGGTTGCCAGCCTTTTGCCTCTAGGTGGCTCTAATAAAATACCTGAGTTAGATCTAAGATTGTACAAGGACTTGCGTTTGATAACTAAAAGATCGCTAATGTATGCGGGTGCGAGGCCATGGATGGCTTTAAAAGTTAATAATAGGATCTTAAAGTGTATACGCGCTA